GGGCCTTAAGGAAATAGAGCCAATCCAACGCATAGAACTCGCGCAGACGCAAATGCGAGAGAGACAGAGTGACTGCCAAAACTCTCTCTCTCTCTCTCTCTCTCTCTCTCTCTCTCTCTCTCTCTCTCTCTCTCTCTTTCTCTTTCTCTCTCCCTCTAGCGCTGGGCTTCCCACTGAGGGGCACCGTCGCGGAATGGTGCTCGCTTGGTCTATTTATATTACGTCTATGGCAGCAGAGGCTTGTATTAGCGTGCTTTTCATCAGTTCGATATGGTTTGGTGCAACGGTGTGGTTGTGGTGAACGGCGAACGGCAAAAGTGAAGGAGACGTAGCGAGGCTAATGCGGGTGTCGTATCACTTTTCGACGGTGTTGCGTCTAGATAGTCCGATTACGTGCCTATAATGGTATACCCTCCGGAGCATAACTTTCAGCGCAGCTCGGACACGAAGCAGTCGGGAGGGAATTCTGCTCCGAGTGATCGGTGCTACTATTTATGCCTCTTTCTGTCAGTGTTGGGAGATCGCCGAATATAATATGCACAGACGAAAGGGTGGATAGTTTCTTACAGCACGCAAAGCCGCCGCGCTGTCGAGGTTCGTGCATTTCTTTCAAATTTCGTATCGCCTAAACTTTTACAATTCTTACATCTCTTTTTACTCCTATGCATACTATATATACCACCTCCGCACGCACGCACGCACGCACGCACGCACGCACGCACGCACGCACGCACGCACACGGTCTCTCCTGCTCTCCCCTCCCTCTTTTCTTTCCTCCCCCTCTTGTGCCTTCCTTCCCTATTTCCTCCCTCCCCCGCCCCCGTCTTCGTCTCCTCTCCCATTTTATCCTCCCCTTTCTCTCCCCTCATCCCACCACCTTCTCTCTCTGCTCCGCTCTTCACCCCAGGTGATCGTTTATGCAGAAACTTGTGTCAACTATTTAGGTTTCCCGCATTTCTCCTTCTACGCGCGACAATTAATTTTCCGTGCCGATTAACCCGCGGTACAGAGCTACGAGGGAACGAGTGTCGTTCGTGCACTGCTTTAATGCATTTATTGTTTCGAAGCTACTCCTCAAAATGTTGAATATAAATACCGCGGTGGACACCGAAACAAATGGGACGTTTCGCGTATCGTTAGGTGCCAATTCTCGTTGAATTTTTCTCTTCCCTCCCCTCCCTCCCGCCCCCCCCCCCACCCCGCCCATCGCGGCTGGATTTATAAATTTGAAAATAAAAAAAATTAATCTAGTTAAGAATTACAGGTTGTCGCACGATCGGGAATACAATGTACGAGTTGCGATCTTGAAGATCACAAGAGAAGCAGCGCCACTGATTCATAGGCCCGGTCAATAATTTATCTGCGTTTCTCAACTAATTTGTCAAGTAGATGAAACGCGAAGCACACGTCTGCATGCAGTGGCAATCGGATATTCCTTTGTGTCACTTACAAATTATGTATGCGATAGACAAATCGCGTCGATTCCGTTACGATCTGAAAGCTAATTAATAACTGATATGTTCGAGTTCCATGTAACTACCTGAAAAATTAGAGAGAGTCCGAGTTGTTCATTTTCTGGTCAACTGTTAACCAGAAGTTAGTCGACTCTTTTTCTATGTTTTTACAAACGGACACCGAAAACTTAAATGTAATATACGACTGTTTAATCAAAACTGTTTAGTTCGCATCACCTTGTATTGTTCTTAAGACATGACTAACAAATTAGTTCGAGCCTAGCTACCACAGTGGTCGCACGCATACATATATTTTATAACTCGACTCTGTCTTATTCGACGACGACGACTGACTTAGGTGCGTTACTGAACTTTTAACTATTTAACTAAATCCTATTTATTTATTTATTAGCCTACATTGTTCATAACGTTGGTGTTTTTGATTTGCAGTATCACTCGAAAAGGACCCAAAAGAATAGGGTCGAAACGTTGTGTAATAAACTAATTAAATAACTAGCCAGTTGGGTCGACTATAAGTTTCCCGTCTCAATTTTTCTATGTTATTATCTAAGAAGAGACCGAGAATCGACTAACCGCTGGTTAACAATTAACCAGAAAATAAAAAACCGGACCATACAATCTTTTTTTTAAAAAGCTGTGATGAGGCAAAGGCACATAGTGGTTTTTTAGTTTAATAACACAATGTTTTGAGAATATTTTTATAAAAAAACAGATTGTATCATTTGTGCAATTACCAATTGTTAAATTAAGACCTTGCGGGGAAAAAAACAAGCGTATTGCGCTAATAGCCTTCCGACCAAACACGGTGAATCTGCTTTAGCTTTCGCAAAATATTATTTATATTTTTAAACTGAATTTTAAACTGAAAGTTTCGAAGCATTTTTTATGTGAAAATCGTAAAAATTAAAACTTTTGTTTGTAACGAAGTTACTGGAAGCTATTGAAAACACGGTTTCAATTTTTGAGGAAAATATTTTACGTCTTTTTAAACATATTCTGCTGCAAATTCCATATTGACATTAATAACTTTTTAAGAGAAAAGCTTTCAACGCGATTGAAGAATTTGTTCTTGAGAAAAATATTTTTATTTTGCTATTTATTATACTTACATATTTCAATAACAAGAGTTGTCAGAATTTTTTGCTAATGTGTTGCTCTAGAATACTGCAAAGATATATTAAACATTTTTAATGGAATGTATTAATATCGATTGCACTACTGAACCAAAAAATGCACAAGACCGAAGGTTTTCTATAATTTTTTTAGCGTAAGCGCTCAATACCCGTACATCAAATTGCCCTATCACGTCGTAGTTTTGAAAAATTTGTGGTTTAAGTTGCAACAAAAGGATTAATGAATTTTATAACTACGATATGTGACGAGTAAAGAAATGTTTGCAATGAAATTAAGTACGTTAGGAGTTTCAACTCTTAAAAGAAATTTATGTGTGTTGATTTGGGTCAGAGAGGTATTTATGATTAACATACACACGGCCTATTGCATCAAAAAGTAACTGATATGAATTAAGAATATACGAAATTTTTTTAGATCGTTAAATTATAATGTAATACGGAAGTTGACAAGTTTGATTTAAATTATATGAAAAACTCCTGTACATAAATTATTTAAAAAATGGGAAAACTTCAATTTTTTAACATTTATTATTCTTAAGATATCATTGAATTTATTGGTCAACAGCAAAATAAAACGAAATCATTTTACTGTTGCGCACAATAAATTTTATTAAATAAATTAGTTACTTTGCCGGTTGTTAGTTCGCTCTGTTAAGTTAAACATTAGTTATAAAGTCGAAACTATGATGCCTTAAGAGCAATAAATAAATTCTAGAGACACTAACGCGAAAATAGCTATTGTATTTATTATATTGAATCTGTTTAGTATTAGTATACTAAAGTATACTAAAGCTTTATACACTTTCAATAATTTTTTAACTTATTTCGCAAGCAAATGCAAGCATATTTTGCGAGTATTTCATTTAAGAAACAGTTTAGTATTGTTAATATCAATCTTATGTGGCTAACTTCTTATTTTCGACCAATCACTGCTCTTATATAATTACGAAAACCGATATTGATACATTTATAGTCTTTAAAATTTTTCGATAACGTTTCGCAGTATCTTAGAGCAAAAGATTAACAGAAAATTCCAATTAAAAGTATTGGTTTCTTTGTCTGCTTTTCGTTTTCTACACATATTTTCCGGAAGATATTAACGCGAAATTCGCCTCCAATCTTTGATATTAATTTCTTGCATATTTTGCGAGTATATCATTTAAGAAACAGTTTAGTATTGTTAATATCAATCTTATGTAGCTGACTTCTTACTTTCGACCAATCACTGCTCTTATATAATTACGAAAATCGATATTGATACATTTATAGTCATTACAATTTTTCGATAACGTTTCGCAGTGTCTTAGAGCAAAAGATTAACAGAAAATTTCAATTGAAAGTATTGATTTCTTTGTCTGCTTTTTGTTCTCTACAGATATTTTCCGAAAGATATTAACGTGAAATTCGCCTCCAATCTTTGATATTAATTTCTTGCAAATAGAAATAAAAATATTTATATGTATTACAAATTCACTGAAAGCGCATGATAAAACGCGCAAAATTTAGCACTTGTGAATGGTCGAGCCTAACAGCGAGAATTGTAGTGCAATTGTAGCGCTCCTCCTCTACCGTCTGAAGCCGGTCGAGGCTCTAAACGCACACGTACAACGTGCTCTTTCTTTTGTGTCCGGGGGATATTATTGTCCCACACACGCGCGGAAATGTGGTAGAGACGTTGTCATGGAGACGCTGGAGATATACTCAACAATTTCTTTCAATGCAGCGCTAGCGAGAAAGTAGCGATAGTCGAAAATTGCAACAGTAAGTGACGGTGTGACGACGAGCAAGACCTTTTTCCTTAAATAATAAAACATTTTTACATCGTGACTCTGCGTCGTAAATATCTCCGCTTGTAGGGCACGTGTGCAATAGAAGACACTTTCTTTATGTAATTGAGACCCCAAGCTATCGATTAAGCCTATTAAAAACTCGATCGGCCTGGCCGTTTCTGTTTGTCTCAGGTACCTACGTGCAACCGGGTCGCTCATGTGTAGATGCACGGTCCATCTCTTTTGTCGCAGCGTGTGATTTAGAACGAGACACTACCGTGCGCCTCTCGAGCTCGCTCGTAGAATTAAATAGCAGTAATGCAATTTTTGCTCCCTGTTTCTTCGATAACATCTCTCCCTTTCCACTTACTTTTGCGAAGCTGTTATTGCTATTTAATTCTACGATAAGAAAAACCGAGTAAACTTTACCTGGAACATTTTTCAAATAGTTATTATAGGAATATTTTGCTCCCCAAACCGGAGATCGAGCAAGAAGTATACATATATCTCTTAGATTTTCACTCCAACGTATTTTAAAAAGAAACAAGTCGACGTCGGGCACTTTGATAATGTGAGTTGCAAGTTGCAGTTGCTCCCGGAAACAAAGAATAGAGAATTGCGCTCTTTAAAGTTTCAAGACAGACCGTTGCTTCGTGGAGAAGAATGGGATATTGCGCAAAAGGCAATAGTCTGACTGAATGTTTAAGACAAAGGGGTCTCGCTACAGCTTAACAAGGATTCTGATGGTAACTGGATAAACGGAGGGTAGCGCAGGTCTGTCAAAATTTTGAAATTTATTGATGCTACACCAAGACGTATTTATTCTCACGGTGAAGCATTTGCAAAGAAGTTGTAGCACACACCTAATAATACTTTATGAACTAACATTGGACGCGTAACACGATATATGGCAAGCGCACGTTGATGAAACGTCGAAGCTTCAAAACGGTTTTATCGGTCCGAATTCATTCTCTTACATATTTAAAATCGAAATTTCATTTATCTTCTTTTTTTTAGAATATTCGCTTTTCCTCAAGAGTCAATTTCACCGCTGGGGTGAAGAATTACGTATCTAATTCACCTCTCTGGAGTGCCCCAATTGATATCGATCGCAGTTAATTACATTTAAATTCCACGTGACATTGCGTTACAAGAAACGACGTACCTGAGATTATCCGCGATGGACCAAGCGACGGGCGTGCACTCTCGTGAGTTGCAACAACGCGTTGAAAAATCCGACAGCCCGAGTCATTGAAGTTGAAGCATTTCGACAAATTGCTCTGCGGCCTGTATTTGAATCTCTCACCACACCCTTTCGATTTGACCTAGAATCTGCAAGATGGGCGCGGCGTTCTTAATCCTCTTTGAACTTCCTCACGTTGCATTACTTCCTCTAATCGTCCGTAATAAACGAAGAGAATCGTGCTATTAAAAGGTCAGCCTATTACCAGTTAAACCGGCCGTTTTGCACCACGAGATTTTTCCCCCTCGCGTGCAGAGGCAAACGAGACGATGATAGAAACAATGTCGATTTACAACAGATTAAACGGGAGATAAAAGTAAAGAGGGAGCATCCCTTCGCGATATCCTAACTCAACGTAAACGCGCGTTGTCCTTCGGGTAGATCCTCATAGTATTGTAATCCCATTGTCTCCGCACGATCGGGGTTCCACTCCTGTTTTCGCCGTGCTGCAAAATTCTTTTATCTACAAAGTGGGAAAGTAAAAAGAAAGACTCTTTCAGTGTCCATGCTTGTGGGTTACATACCGTGGTCACGCGGTCTCATTGCCAAATATGGCTGGCCGCGGTATTCTTAGCTCTGCTCGAGCACGAACGACACTCGACGGAGCCGCCCGACAAGCAATACCTATCGTCATCCACGTCTCCGTCTTCCCCCGCGTCGCTTTCGTTTTCTTCTTAATTGTGTTGTCATTATCTGTATTTCTTAATAAAGAATAGATTAAAGTTGAACTACGTGGGAATGGCGAGGGCTCGAGCGTTCGTAAAGTGAAAGCCGAAAGGCCCAACGGGAAAAATGTATTGTCGCGCTAGAGTAAAGTTACGAATTTAATTTATGGTAAAGCCAATGGAATACACGAATGAAAGATATGCGGAAGATATCGGGAGATAAAATAAAACGACGCGAGCGTTAAATGAAGGGGGGGAAAAAACGAGATCCTGTGAAGTAAAAGTACGCCGAGGTTTATCGGCGTAAGACAAGACCGATTACTTTTTTCTTCATTTTGCTTGGGATATATATAAGCAATCTCTTTTATATCTATATTTTATCGATTAATGACGCGGTCCGTGCCGATGGCTATCAATAATTTTTCTCGTTTTACGCGCGATATTGGCGGATATAGTTGCTAAGCAAGGGAACAAACCGCGGTTGGTTTGTTATCGCAATATCAGCCCTTTAACGCCAATTAGGCCATAATTAATTGATCGTCGAGAACAGCCAACGAGGTTATTAGGGTCAGTAACGGTAGTCGACCCGTAGAACGACGCTATCGCAGTCAATGTGCAACATCTCCACGAATAATGTTGTCTTGTCATAATTTCGTATGTGGAATCATGATGTTTTGCCGCCGAAATTGTTTCCGATGGAAATCCACTATTTTCGCTTGTGGTTAAAGTCGACCTAAATCGAGTGAAATCGAAATAAATAGTGACCAAAGAGAACAAACCGACGATAAGAGTAATAAAAATATAATTAAACTCAATTATGCTAAGTATATACACATATATAACGTCTGTTTACTTTCAAATTAAGAAAAAGTATTAAATAAGGCGTGACTCGGACTTTCAAGCAATATTTCACTGGAAGATTTTTAACATTTATATGCGACCTCAAACTTTTAGCCGGCAACGTATGTATTGTGGCAGATTCAATGTGTTGGTCATATTTTTGATGAATTAATATCCTCCAGGCTTCGCTCTATTATTTTTTTTCATTAAAGAACAATATATAGTTTTCACATTTGCGTTTTCCCTTGTCCTGCTTTGCTTCGGATAAAACACAAACGTCCATGTTGTGTATTTCCAATTCTGTTACTATTTCGTGGCCTCTGGTTTCAAGGGGTTTATATTCCTCGCGGCCATTCTGATCTTCGCTAAAATTGCTTTCCCCCTCGTATCCATTTTTTCGCCTTATTTGCCACATTTTTCCGATCCAATTCCGAGGCTTTAACAGTTCTGCTAGCCTTTTTTTTACGAAAGGTGAGCTGCGTCACGCGCGAGACGCGACTTAATATTTCAATGAAATAAAGTAGAGAGCTGTCCTTGTACCAAGACTTTATTTGGCGGTGTGAGTCAAAGGTGTATTCGTTTTGAGAGACGGCTGAGAACTGTTTTTACAGTTCGAGAGGGATCTCTTCCCTCGAAAGAAATAGGTAGAATTTTTGTTGAAACAATAATCGATAACGCAAGGCGTTCTAATATCGGATGTAGGGTTCGCTGGAGACGAGATAGAGACTGAAGGGTTGATGTATGGTGGAATAATCTGTTTAGAACTAATCTTAACAGCTGATTGCATTTATTAGTTCAGACATTATTTGTTTGGGAAAACTGTTGGGAAAAAGATGCTGCATGTAACTGCTATCCTCTCATCCTCTAGCTTTCTTCCTTATTCTCACACCGGCTTAAGAGAAAACAGTGGTTTTCATTCACCCTGATATGAATTATGCAAATATTTGTCAATTTGTTGGTAACTTTCATTTTTTACACTTAGTTATTTTACTAAACATTTATACATCAAAGTTAATTCATATTTTTGCAGATCCCTACTCATCTATGCGAGTCTGATCGCACCTGAAATCCGGCTATTATTTCAGCCGTGTTATTAACCGTCAACCTATTAAAAAATATTTTAATGATGTTAATAATTATACGCGGTGGGAAGAGGAAAAGTTAGAAATAAAAAAACAACGGGCTGAACCTGAATGAAAAAGAAGGAGCGACGATGGGTCACATGAAAGAAAACTGCAAGATAACGACGTGGCGATTGTGGAAAATGAGATTTTTGGGCCAACCGGCCTGAGATATGCCAGCGATAACAATACCTGAGAAATCTTCAAGAACATCTTCACCCCTGTTGTCAGCTGAAATAGCGGAGCTGCATCAATCGTCATCATCGTCACCGCTGTCGTCGTCGTTGTCCTGGGGCTGCCAGGTCTACGCGACACGACGCAATCTCTTCGTACCATTGATCGTCGATTCTCGTCCAAGTAAGGCGGTGCACTGTCCAAATTTGAACGCCTGCCTGGTGAACGAATCGCGTTCAGAATATGTTCGAGTGAACTGTCAAACGATCCACTTCGGTTACGCGATTCCAATTAACATCGTGCCAATTCGAGAGAATCCCGAGTTAGTCGAACTGGTGCTGGATCAGTCCGTCGAGTTGAGCAGTCGAGTGGTGAATTTCTTGCTCGACCATCATCCGCAATTGCGTCAACAAAAGCAGCGTTTCTATGATATGGCTGCCACGGCCAAGCATGACCTACGTCGAAAGTTTCCCGCGGACACGTCCGCTTCCGGCGAGGAAGATATCGCCGCGATCGCCAAGCAGATCAGCGATCATGCAGAGGCGATTTATCAGACGTGGAAGAGCCGCGGATTGGCACCAACGGAGATATTAACTTGCCACAGCAATACAACTGCTGCTGACAAATTTGGCAGCGCATTGACACCCTGCAATTCGCCCGCTCTCGGGAATGCCGTGACTGGAAATAATATCGGCGGCAGGACGTCGCCGTCGCCATCACTCGAACATTCGTCCCCGACAACGGTAGACATATTGACGCAAACGCCGAATCTGGACAATGGTAATCTCGAGAAACTAGTCAACAATTTTGTAGTAGAGGACAAAGCTAGAATAGCTGCTTCTAAACAGAGATCACCGTCTAAGCCGTTACCGTCTTCCATACAATTTGCCCTGCAGAAATTTGAAAGGAACTCCGCGCAGCAGCAACAGCAGCAGCAGACGGCTGCCACGAAAAATAATATAATTGCCGATAACTCGAAGAAATTGACGAGTGTCTTACTGTCTCCTACCTCATCGTTTTTGAATAAACCGTCGCAAATAGTGAAACCTCAGGTTCCTGCGAAGACGCCCGGCTCTCATCACTGCGAGGTCTTCCTGGAGACTATCGAAACCACTTTCCCAGTCGATTTGACACCTTCCAACAGAGCGATACAGCAAAAGAGGCCCACTAGTACATTAATCGCATCGCCATCGCCCACTGACACCTCGTTGAACTCATCGCCCAGTTCAGGTTTGACAACTTGGCCATTGAAAAATAAATTAAACGACGCCAAAAGAAATGCGGACGTACCTCGCACGTCAGCTAAAGCGCCTCAGCAAGAGGATATTACGAAAATATTGCCGGCGCAGGATGAGAAGAGATCGGTCATGGCGGGAATGAACTCGCGGTGCGCGTACCTCGACGAGGTCGCGCGGGAGGAAGAAAGACTGATAAACGCGCTGAAAACAGGTGCCGTAATCACTGAGGAGCCAGAGAGGACAATAGCGTGTTTGCGCACGAGACAGAAACCGGCTATTAAGCAAGAAAAACCAAAGGTTGAACCGGTCAAGCAAATTATCATCGGAGGACACAACTACCATGGGAATAACTCGACGGTATCTAGCTCGGGGGCTTCCAGTTCTACGGCAGATATATCCAATATTGGCAATGCAGCCACTGCCGCCACTGTGTCTACTGATCATGCTGCATTAGCCAACGACGCGAAATCACTCACCAAGGACGATCTGTCCGCTATGTCAGCGATTGACTATGCCAAGGTCAGATACCAGGCCGCTCAACAAAATCCACCTACCCAGCAGCGACTCGAGGAGCAACGAGCCTCCAACAATCCGTACAACAATTCCACCACGGAGCAATTGGTCTCCAACGCGAGAACCAAATTTGAAATGGAGATACGAAAGGATAAGGATATTAAGAGCACAGACAAAGACCCAGTGACCTCGAGATGGGGACCAAGAATCACTTCTCCACGACCGCGTTTAGAGCAGGCTGTGCCCCATCCGGAATTGACTAGTCAACAGAAGCAGCATATAAGGACAGCCGTGGCGACAGGAACAGGCAACAATCCCGTCCGGCCGTTCCTCACCAGAGGTTCCGTAGCCGAGCGTGTGCTTATCTTCGAGAAATGCCCGAGCGAGCTGCTTTTAGACAAACGAGGCCCACGACAACCGGCCATTAATACATGGAGAGGTGGCCACGAAGTGCAAAATAAGGCGCAGGTAACTTTTACGATTTTTAAACAGCAAACAATTTTTCTTTTATTGTTTACGTTAATGATATTGGCATTAACACGCACTTTACACAAACCATAACTGCGAATTCAGGATACTATTCTACTTTACGAAAGTAAAATAAAATATATTTCAGTATAATTATATATCTCTGTAAATCTTTTAAATATTTACGTTAAAACTTTTATCAATACTCCTCGGAGCTCTTTTTTATTTCGAGTGATATTTGGGAATAAATTTAAATTGAAAGTCAAAATTATCGTCGTATTTGAAGCAACTTGATCTTGAGGTCGTCACTAGCTACTATTATTGTGCCATGTGAACTGAGTGAGAGCAGTCATATAATGACCATGATGTAACCATCGGCGCTGCGAGGTGCGGCAGTGCATTGATCACCTCTTTGCATTCTTCGAAATCTTCTTATGATGTCTCGTAACAGGATGTCGGTGTGTCCTTGATCGACACCAACGAGTTATAACGAACTCGCGGAATGTACGTTTCAAAGGGGAAAATTCATTACGTTCTGTTATTCAATTGATGTTGTTTATGATAAGAGATGATGTATTCTTACAGATAGATTTCTAATCGATTTTTTTGTTTACAAAATTTTTCTAATTTAACTTCCATCTCTTCTTCTAGACTTACTCGAAAGAGAAGACTCAACAAAAAAGTTTGCCACCACACACAACTTTGCAAAGGCAGGTGAAAGGCAATAGAAATGTTCATATACCGAGGTGCGTATATTTTCTACATGTACAAATTTTGTACAAATATTTTAATAAATGTTCTATTATATCATCGTAACAGCGAGAAATTGGAAACTTGAAAAATCGCGTTATTTTATTTTCATTAAAAATTTGAAACTTTTAAATTTAGTCCAATTATTTAGAGATTGGTACGAGACACAATTGTATAATACCTTTTGATGCTACTGAAAGATAACATTTTTATAATAAAAGAAAAATTATTTATGAGCTACATATTTTATTTATTAATTGAAATATAATGCAATACATAAAAAGTTGTAAAGCAACATCAAATTTGTTTAAATGAAAAAATTTTAATTCTGTTACTTTTTGTTATTCTCTCTATTTATTACTTTTTTAAGAAATCTCTTCGTTTGAAAATATATGTTGGGAAACAAGCATCCATCCTTAGCCCTAGCTTAATTTGATTAACAATAAATCTAGCCAATAAATTTTCTATTATGATTAATTTTAAAATAAAACTATCTCTTTTGCAGATTTTATTTTCCAGGAGGGAAGCCACTCCCTCTCTCACAAGTAGAGACGATTGTCTCAAAAATTACTACGGCCTTTCAAAGTTTACCGAATTGTCGTGCTTCTCGCGCACAATTTCACACCATCACAAAGGTCAGAATTTATACATTTTTAAATTAAAACAATGCTTCCATTACTTTTGTTAGGGGAGAGGACGCATGAAATTATAGGGCTATCTACTTTTATGTTTCTTTTTCTTACTACTGGATTAACGTATTTGGATTGTCTTTTCTAATTGTTTTATCATATAACATTTTGACATTTTGATAAATGCTTTTTTTCTAAATCAACTCTTTCTAAGTTTTGTGTACATTTAAAAAAAAGTCAGTTTCTTTACATATTTGTAACTTTCGATAAAATTAATTTTTATAAAACTGAATCATTCCACTCATTTTTTAAAAGAATTTTCTACAAAAATCTATTCAATGTATTTCTAAAAAAAAATACGTGAAGGTGAAAATACACGATTTTATAGAAAAGTGTTTCAAAAGTTTTGATGTATGTAGTGTTACTTAATAATAATTTATTCGCTCTTTCCTTATCTATTTTAAATCAAAGCTAAATAAGAGTACTACCAGATGATAAATAAAAATTACAAACAAATTTTTTAAATTATTTTTTTAACAACCGCTTTCATTCTGATCAAAGAATTATATATTTAACTTTTTTTATACATTAAAAATATCCAATTATTTTATATAATTCAAATCCATAACAATATATTGTTTTAAGAAAAAGAATAAGTTTAATATTTTGATTTATCCTTCCACACAATAATGCGTAGTATTCCTATTTTTGTCAACATTCCTAATATTTATTTGTAATATAAGCTTATGATACACTAATATATTATCTATTTTGGTATATTCTGAATTTTGTGGATTTTTTCCTTACTGTATAGGCTTGCGACTTACCCTTGTATTGGAAAATACCACTCTTTCTGGCAGCAGGCGGTGAGCAAAAAGGATTTGTCGAGATGAATGTCTTTCTTGAATTTTGGAAAGAGTAAGATATGGAACACAATCTATATTTTTAAGAACATATATCAAGTGAAATCATGACTATTTCCTGAATTTCTTACATCTTATCAAATTCTGTATATTTCAACGAAATATAAAAAAGAAATATTTAGCGTAACTGTTACTGTGATATTTGAGTTACATACAGATTAATTTATAAAATGACCATCAAAATTATATATAAAATTTAAGCAGAAGAAATGAATAATTTCTATTTGTAATAAATTAGTGCATTATTTTATTTTAAACTTTATTGTTTCTTTTCACATTTTAAATGCTTGGTAAAATTTTTCTTAATTGAATAAATAAAATCGCCACCCTTGCAGAAACTAACGTGTCATTCAAATATGAGTGCTATGGCAGTCAAAGTATTAATGCAAACACAGTGAATGCCAATTTGTTAGCAATTTGCTGTCAGTTTGCTGGCACATTGCGAGCAGTTTGCTTACCAGGATTCTATTCTAAAAAAACTAAAGTTACAATTTCTTCAATGTCTTTATCTATAAGATAGTTATTTGCACGTATGGTGTCTTTTCTATACTAATTAATTTCAATATGAGTAGTTTTTTGGTATCTCGAAATTATGTTACATCAATTATTTTATAGAAATTGCCTATACTTCTAGTTGCCTGTAAAAAATATTAAAAGTATAAATTTGTCGGTCATTTTATAGAAAGTAAATTGTAACAAGTTTGTTATAAAAATAAAAATCTTTTAATCATTCTTTTTTCATAAAGAATAAAGATCTTTTAGTTTTTTAAACAGAATTATAATTTTTTCCTTTTTACATTGAAAGATATATCTAGGAGAAATGTAGTAATAATATGTTAAAAGATCTTTTTATTGATTTTATTTGACTTTACTTTTCAAAATATATGAACATTTATTTTATGATAATCTATTTTGGACATGTAATTTATTTATACCGCCAAACATATTGAAATGGAAATTGGATGAAGCAATAATCAGATTTTATAATTATCCTTACAGATTAACAGCTACCCATCACGATGCAGCTAGTAAATTTATCAATATTATCACTCGGGGACATAGAAACAGTATACTTCCGGAAGACTTGATCCCTCTTGTACAAGACGTAGTAGAAACGCATCCAGGACTGACATTTTTAAAAGAAGCTACGGAATTTCATTCTCGTTATGTACACACGGTTTGTAGAAAATAACTATCTCATTTCTTATTTATAGAAATATGTTAATTGTATCAATCATATTGATTTCTATTAAAATTAAATTGTGATCAGTTTATAATAATTATCGTACAGATGTGATAGATTTGCAAGTTTTCGTTTAACGTCTTGAATTGCTCTTGTTGGGATAAAAATTTATTATAATCAAATCTCATTTTAAAATTACTCGACATATTTTGTTAAAAAATTCAGATTTAAATAATTTATGAAATATTGTAATAATATTTTTATTTTTGACAATTTAGCCGCAACTAATAATGAAATTATTCGCGGTTTCATATAAGCTGTGCAACTAATTGTTTACAAATATGTATTTATGAAAATAATTGCAGGTGATTGCTAGGATATTTTATTGCGTGAATCGAAGTTGGAGCGGTAAAATTTCAATTGCCGAATTAAGACGAAGCAATCTGTTGGCGGTGATCGCCGTGCTTGAGCACGAGGAGGATATTAATCAGGTTACAGCATACTTCAGTTATGAACACTTTTATGTGATATATTGCAAATTCTGGGAGTTGGATCGCGATCATGATCTCTTCATAGACAAAACAGATCTAACGAGACACAATGATCATGGTGAGAGATCGT